CCAGAGTCGCGGAACAAATTAAGTTCGTGAACCGAGGTACCACTGTATATTTTTGCCAATATATCTGTTAAGTCTCTCAAGGATATACGCTTACATCGCACCTTAACATTTGTTTCTTTCATGCAACTTGAAGGGGGTCTCTGTCTCTCTCAGAAATGATGACATTGATCTTGTTCATAAAATGCACAGCCAGCATTTGTTGCAGCTTTAACAGAAAGCCTCGTTCAGTGTTACTGTGTTCACACAAGATCACAGAGATCCCTCTGGAAACAGCATTTAGCACATCATGATGGGACATCTCTCCTACAATGCAATCAAGAGGAGGCCTGTTAGGATGGAGCAAGGCACTCAGAATTCAGGCAAGGTTCATTTACTGTTCTTACTTAAAAATATCCTGAGAACCTGTCTGTCTGATGAAGTAGGTAAAAACAATTCAAATGAATAATTTACATTCTTAAATATGCAAAAATATCTGAAGTATAGGGATATGTAGCAAACCACCTGAAGGGCTTTCAGGGAATCAAAGATTTTTCCAAATCCAGGTCTCCATATGCAAAGTGAGTTACTGCATTACTGTAGTTAACTTTATAAATCTGGGTTACTTCCAGCAAACCAAATTCTTCATATTTCACATAAATAGTGGTTAAAGGGTATGGCAAAAAGGGGATATTAAGACTTTATTTAGACAAAGCCAGTGAATAGTACTACAATGTTAACATAGAAAATGTATCAACTATCACAGCTTTTCCAACAAACTGTTTTAAAAAGTTTCTCACCTGTAAGATAGAGATCACTTTCTGTGTCTTGCAAAACACTTGCTCCTGAACCAGCACAAAGAGCAACCACTTTCACCAGGGACTCTACAAAAAGAAAAACTAGCATAGTTAAATGCTTCAAGTTTTGTGGTTAGTTTGGGGTTTGTTTTTTTCCTTGAGATGACACAGAGTAGTAGGCAATAGATTAAGGGCTGCAAGTTGGTGTACATGACTGGATCATCATTTATTTCCCTAGCCCTTCAGTAATCAAAAGCCATCAGTCTTCCTTACAGACACAAACAAGCAGGTTCATTCATCTTCAGTTAAAAGAGAACTGCTGCCAGTCAGAACAGTTAATTCTAGCCTAGGCAGGCCAATGCTCTGACTCAATGGTTTAGTGTTAGGTGAAACTAGCCAGTATAAGCTAGCACCTGTAGCAACACCATGTGACCAAATGAGTCTTTGAAGTGTAGTGATGGATATGGATTTCTTTCTCTCATGCTCTCCTTTATGAAAAGATACTCTTAACTTTTTTTAGTCTAACTAAAGATGTCCTTTCCAGATATTTTAGATGTGCTGAACTTTTAAATATCTTCCCCCTCTCCCCAACCCAAGTTATTTAAATGACTGGTCTGGCTGAACCAGACTAATTTTATTTAATTCCAGAGCAGAGCAATATTTTATCCTGAAACACTCAGTAGGAAATACTGTTGAATGTTTTTATAAGTGGCTCCTTTGGATGTATCAGTAAATCAAATCACTTAGGGCAAGAACCAGATGCTTCTATTCCTATCAAGCATCCTCTCACAAAATATAGAACAATGAACGGTTTAGGTAGCAAGTAGCACAACCCCAACATAAATTGTGAGAAAGCAAATATATACCGAGTGATTTCCCTGCTCCAAGAGCTAGACGAATATGAGACAATTTTAAGTGACTTTTCAATCGTTCAATCAAGAGAGAAACTGAGGCCGGTTCATGCAACGTGCATAAGCGTCCCATTCCAGTATCGGCAAGCAGAGGCTGAAAAGAAGCCAAGGATAAAATGCTTATGATGAAAGTGCTCTGACAGTTATCTTTTACCTTAATAAGGAAGACAGATTCATGTATTTATGTCTGTTTTCATAAATACAAGAACATTTCAAAAAATATACAGTAAAAGATATACTAAAGGACTATGACATATTTCCAATTTGTCTTTAACATGCACCTATGAGCTGCACTAACAACTATGACATATAGCTGCCAATCCTTTGCAAATTTAGTTGGGACCAAGCCCCTTTCAAATGAGACTAAGCATGCATAGGATGGATTGTAATATGTAAATTGTATTAAATTTGAGAACATTAAGGTTCACTTATTCACACATTCCATATCTATCTCAAATTACTCAATAGTTATGCTTGTCTTATTTCCAGATTTCAGATACGACAAACTTTAATACACAAAGTCTCAGAAAACAGTGGGCAAGTTTTTCAGTTCTCCAGAATGCTGTTTCAAACAAATGGTAAAATGAAGAGGGGAGAATGGGAACATTTTATTTTTCAGCCATGGAGTCTGAATTTAGTTATAGGCTGAAGGAAAAGATGGGAATAGGATACAGATATTCAAGTTAGGCTCTACTGGATGTTGCAATAGTGCAAAGATGGGCATGATAAAGGACAAAAAAGGCAGGGACCTAACAGAAGCAGAAGA